ACATACTTACATACATATATTATATATATAGATATATATATAATATATGCACAAATAGCACAAGCAGACATACAGACACAGACACAGACACAGACACAGACACAGTCATAGACACAGACACAGATATATATATATATATATATATATATATCTGTGTGCTTTTTTTCACTGTATAAAATTTTACATGCAGCCTGTAGGGAACCAAGCACAGCAAATGAGAAATTTCCCAAAACAGGTGCAACAACACATGCCACTGAGGAAAACGTATGAGTGCCAGGAGAAAACGTAATATACAACTCGATATGTGCATACCTTTTGCGCCAAGTTTTCCGCATTCTCTTTCTGCTCCAGTTCTTTCCGCTGCCGCCTGGCCTCACTTTCCATTTCGCGTCTCTCTCGCAGAAGCTGATTTCTCAAAAACGTATAATGCGGTTGCAATATCAGCAATGTGCGGTTGCGACATGAGGTACGTAAACTGTAAAACCAAGACACGACTCAAACACCCGTGGCAGGATGAGGCAAGGTATAGATAGTCTATGTACACTTGAGTAATGGTAGTTGCACGGTTGTATAGCAGGATGAGGCAAGGTATAGATAGTCTATGTACACTTGAGTAATGGTAGTTGCACGGTTGTATATCAGGATGAGGCAAGGTATAGATAGTCTATGTACACTTGAGTGATGGTAGTTGCCCGGTTGTACTGTTCATCGCCGACGAAATCCAACCAGCGCTTGGTGTAGACGAATACAAACTTCCTGGATACACAGGTAGCCCAGAACACAATACACAAGCAGATACTGAACACAACACACTCTATATACACAACTAGCGTAATACAAACGCACAAGCCAATACCACACACACACACCTTGGCGCGTTCCGCCGCCTTCTCTCTCTTTTCCTCGGCAATCTCCTCTTCCGTCTTCCTGCGCTTCACAGGTCGCTCGACCTTGGGCGCCTTTTGTGTGGGCTCTCTCTTACCTTTTATCACCTGGAATGTGACAGGAGGTACCGGAGTACGCACAGGAGCAGAATGGTAGTGATTGAGCCGAGGATTATCATGCTTTGCCTGAGTCAGCTAAACCGAGAGTTAGTTTGTCCTCACATGTACGTAATATCCCATGTAGCTATACTCGCAGACAAGTATATGTGATAAAAAAAAGAGTCTGATTTCTACAGTGTCAGCCTTGAGGCTGCAAATTCTTCAGTTCTAAATTTTGAGGCGGGGGTGGGGAGGTATATTCACATTTGCATACCACGTCTTTGTAACATCCACGTATACACATACATCCACGTAGAGAAGTACACATAACAAGCACTCGCATATGTACAGTTCGTACGCATGCCACTCAAAAGTATACACCTCATGACCAACATACAAATACGGGTATGAATAAATTCACATGCGAGACACCCAAGTACCTTGCGTGGCGGTGGACTAGGCTCAGGCTCAGGCTCCCGGTATGGAAATGGATTGAAAGCGGTACGCTCGGCTACATTCATCGCCAACACCCTCGTAGCTTCCGCTAGTGCCGCATTTGACGTGGACATCACCTGCGCACGTGCAAGGCATAAGCGTGCAATCGTGAGTGAGCCGCTATGGGGGGGGGGGGGGTTTGGAGGTGAGAATAGGTGATTTCGCAGACTTTTGAGTACATACTGAACGGATATACCTGAGGATTGGGTGTCCAGTTGGATGAAAGGCAAAAGAAAACTCTTATACGACACACATACACATACACGTACACACACATATATATATCATACATACATACATACATACATACATATATATATATATATATAAGTAAATGCATATCACTGTAGTTTGTGAGAAGGAAGTGCAGCCTAGAAGTGTAGTTGAGAACGCAAAAGCACGAATACATATGTATGCGCACTTCCGAAAGGAATCTGCAACACACACACACTCGTATACTGCAACTCACACAGAGAGATTCTTCTACTCTTCAATGGGCACAAACAGACAGCATTGCGATACAAGCTCCAAACATGCGAAGCATACGACCCGATATCTTGAACGGCACATCCAAGACAGGCGTATGCATGACTATATTCACATATAAATTGTGGCAGTACGACCGGTGTGATCTCTGTTTTGCACGAACGTTTATTACTTCAACACCCCACAAAAACACACGACACAAGCCACCACATACTTCCTTATCAGACCACAGGACAGGGGTTCACACCCGAATTCGCAGATACACACTCAAACGTGGAAAACAATATATATAAAAAGTACCACACATCCGCCTATAGCCCCCCACACACCTTTCTTTTCTTCTTCTGGCCTCCTTTAATCACTTTCATCTGCAGCTTCTCCCCTGGCCCGTTCTCTATCATATCTGCCGTTGAGATGACTTCTATGGCCGTTGCAGGTATCCATCCTCGCGAGCACTTTTTGTCCAGGAACACCGTGTGCACCTCTAACAGGTCGTTGCGCATGCGTTCGACTTCGCCCGTGTTAGCGTCCATGGTAATCATCGCGGGCCAGGCTGGGTATGAGTACATCCTGCAACCATGTGTGAAGGATTGGAGGCACAAGCTGAGGGCGTGTCCGTATTCGGGCATGTATGTGTGTGTACTTGACTCTATTACAACAATACTCAAGGACTAAGTAGTACTTACTTTGCCCAGACTATTCTATACGACTATAAAGCAACAACATTCAGGCACTAACTAGCACTTACTTTGCCCGGACTATTCTATACGACTCTAACACAACAACACTCGGGGACTAACTAGTACTTACTTTGCCCAGACTATTCTATACGACTAACACAACAACACTCACAGACTAACTAGTACTTACTTTGCCTAGACTATTCGATACGACTAACACAACAACACTCAGGCACTAACTAGTACTTACTTTGCCCAGACTATTCTATACGACTCTAACACAAGAACACTCAGGCACTATCTAGTACTTACTTTGCCCAGACTATTCTATACGACTCTAACACAACAACACTCAGGCACTAACTAGTACTTACTTTGCCCAGACTATTCTATACGACTCTAACACAACAACACTCACAGACTAACTAGTACTTACTTTGCCCAGACTATTCTATACGACTAACACAACAACACTCACAGACTAACTAGTACTTACTTTGCCTAGACTATTCTATACGACCAACACAACAACACTCAGGCACTAACTAGTACTTACTTTGCCCAGACTATTCTATACGACTAACACAACAACACTCACAGACTAACTAGTACTTACTTTGCCTAGACTATTCTATACGACTCTACCACAACAACACTAGGCACTATCTAGTACTTACTTTGCCCAGACTATCGTGTACAGCGGGAATGTCAGCGAAGCTTCCTTTGCAGCAGTCTTCTGTAATTCTTCCGTCTCCATGGCAACCACCTCATCACCCTCTCCCGCTGAGAGACCCTCTGTTTCGTTAACTGACTCCCCTTTATCTACACCAAGGTACATCTCTGCAATGCCAGCTTCTGAATTCTTAGGTATCTCTTCGGGGGTGTCTTTAGTGGCGGTGGGCACAATGGTGTGCACCGAGCTTCTCTCTGACGACCTCTCCTGTTCACGTGGATGTGTTGAAGCCATCTCCTCCTCCCCACTATCCACCTGCACTGTAGCAGCTTCGCCCACTTTCGCAGTGGAGCTCTGCACGTTGGTACAAATATCAGCGGCTTTCCTATCGTTGGTATTCATTTCTTTGTCTGCAATTTCATTGGTGGTCGATGCTTTCTCTGCCATTTCATTGGCTATGGCAGTACCTGTGGTCCTCGGTTCTTCATCCACATCCATACTCGCACACGCTTCCCCATCCCCTGTACCGGACGGCCCTGTCGTTGGTAATGATGAGTTTGCATTGGTATCAGACCCAGACCCAGCCTTTTCGGGCAGGGCTTGTTCCACAGTGGGTTGTACGTTGGCCGGTATTGGTCCTATTATCCCAGACGTATCACTACTCCCCTGTTCAGAATTAGAGCCAGAATCCGGCCCTTCCTCAGCCGTTAGATCCACACATTCAGCATTCGACTTGCCTATCTGTAGCCGGCGACCAGCTCTACCTCCGTTGTTCCTACCACTCCTCGCTACCTGCGCACCTACCCCCTTAACCGCAACCACCCCCTCCGATACCACCACAGGCTTATCCACGTTCTTTGCCCCGAAATAAGACATTATACTTCTACTGGCCCGTTCTCCAGTGCGTGTGCCTGAGACCTTGCCACTCGATGTCTTGGCCCTCCCCTTGCGCTGTGTATGCTGCATGGGTTTGTTCTTGGCCAACCCCAGCGGACTAGCCTTCGCAGCGCTAACGACGTGGGCGGAGTTCGGTACCCGTGCGTGTAAAATGCTTTCCGACGTTTGAACGTCCGCCATCGGCATATCTGTGGGCTCGGAGAGATCACGCTCGTTGGTGGCGGCCTTGACACTACGGCTATAAGCGAGTTGGTAGTCATGTTTGTATATGTGAGTCATAGAAAGGTGAGTAGGTGTGGGTGGTAGGGGTACACTGGGGTTGGTGAGTGTTGTCGCGCGCACAGTCAGAGATCGGTATACTGTACAAATAAGGTATCTTTATCCAACTGAGATCCGATATGTATGGCTCTACGTCCGTCGTGTAGATGTGCATATGTACAAATATCCAAGTACGTTTGAGACATGCTTGTCTAGCTACTATTACATGACTATTGCGTAATTGTTCATGTGGATTACCACCTGCATGTGAGCATTATTGCGAGTTTGAAACATCTACAAGACACGTTCTTCCAATGTCCGTATTTACCATCGTGATCGAACACATCTTAATTAGTTATGTTTAGCTTGATACATGTATGTCTATATGATGGTATTCATTGAATTGATCCATGCAATCAAACTCATGCGATATTAATACACACACACACCCACACACACACACACACACACACACACATATATATATATATATATAAATAACATATATATATACATA